CTGGGCTCTCTGTGGGGCGAGGGGTGTGTGTGTGTGTGTGTGTGTGTGTGTGTGTGTGTGTGTGGAGTGCTCAGAACAGCCTCTTCCACCCTCTTGGGCCCCGGGGGGGGCTATTTCCAGAGGTTGGGAGGACCTCCTGCTTGCAGTCCTGCCGTTGCCCCATCCCGGAAACCCCTCGCTCCCTCCCTCCCTCCCTCTCTCCCTCCACCCCCCACCCCCCACCTCGGACACGAGGGGGTTGCAATGGGGAACTTTGGGTTTTTTAAAGAATTGGGTGGAGAGCCAGGGGGTCCTTGGTGGACTGTCCATCGGGAGAACTAGGGGGTTGGGGCTGGATCCACCACCACCCCTCTCACTTACTCACAGGCTTGGGATCAAGGAGACCATCTGTCCGAGCTGACCTTTGGCCCTTTCGTCACGCAGGCCTGTTTCTTTGCTCAAGTAACAGCAGCAGGTTCCTTTATTGGATCCACCCAAGGGTGAAACCCTCCAAGGTTGTCTAAAGCTCCTCAGCCTCTGGCGGCTGCCCCACTTCTGCCCCAAACGTTTGAATGCGGGCAGTGGTCTGCTAACCCCCCCCCATTTATTTCCTGCCTGCACCTGCTGTATGACTCCTCCCTTGGCCAAGAAGGCCTCTAGAGCAACTGGCCTCGGGCCGGCCGTCCTGAAACAAAGGACCCACAAAAGCTAGGGGCCTTGGGCGTCCCTCTGCGTCCCTCCCCCCCTCCCGCCCCAGCCTGACTCCTCTCCTCTGTGCCCTAAGGAAGCGTCATGTACCGCAAGGAGAAGAGCATCCTGCTGAAGGACAGCAGCCTGGCCCTCTACAACAACCTCAGCGTCCTGCCCCTCCCTGGCAAACAGCTCACCTACTTTGCCAGCGTCCACGGCAGCACCGTCAACCTGGTGAGCGCCTCGGACGACGGGCTGGGCTTCTCCCACCGCCTGCTGCAAGCCAAGGAGAGCAGCCTGGGGATGGGGGCCTCCATCATCACCCAGGTAATCAGGGAGAGGGAGCCCCTCCTGGGCCGGGAGGGGCCAGTCCCCTGCTGTCACGGAGAAATCAGCACCCATGCCCTGGGGGATCAACACGGGCCAGCTTCCAACAGGCGGATCGAAGGAGGGACGGGAACAGAGCGGCAGCCGGCGTCGATGCAAAGCCAGGGCTGAGCTGGGCCGTTCACGTGGTGGACGCCTGCCTCACGGAGGGGGGGGGGCTCTCTTCCTTTAGGTGGGAAGGAAACCAAGCCCTAGGAGGGAAGGCTGAAAGAACTGGGCCTTGAGAAAATACTAAAGGGAGATAGGGTGGCACTTTCCCAACACTTGAAAGGTCATCCTCCAGAGACGTTTCCTGTGATGGCCGAGAGTACAGCCCGCTGGTGTTCGTTGTGTGGCTGTCCAGGGGTTCCCTTGTCCTGATCTGAGGCAGGCAGACATCCTGCTCTCTCATTCTGCCTGGCCTTTCTGCTATTCTGGGTCTGGTTGCTCCCTGGGGAGGACAGGCACTGGGGCTTCTTATGGGATCTTTCCCCTTGCCCACACATTTCTGCCTCTGTGCGGAATTCTGGGGCTGCCTCTGACCCAGATTCTATTGGGATGGGTGGTGGGGAAAGGGGCTGTGACAGACCCACCTCCATGTCCCTCCTTCTCCTGCCTTTCCTTCCAGGCTGCCTGGTGCGTCCTTCCTTCCCGGATCCTCTTGGTGCTGACATCACGGAAAGGTGTCCAGGTGAGAGACACTCGGGGGGGAGGGAGTCCAGGGCTTGGGTGGCCACAACCACTGACTGTTGAGTGGCCTGACCAGAAAGGACTCCTGGCTCAAGGGCTCTGCTGGGTCCCTGCTCTTGTCCTCTTCAGCCAGCCGGTGGGCCTCTCCAAGAGGTAGGTGGGGGCGGCCGGGCGGCCTGCCTGCCTGCTGGAGGCACCCGTGCAGTTGTCTTTCCTCTCTTGTTTTCCCTGCCTGCCAGATGTACGAGTCAGATGGGTCGGTCATGGTTTACTGGCATGCTCTGGACGGGTTGGAGTCCTCTCCAGGTATGTCTTCCAGCAGGGAGGGGTTCTGCCCGTTTGCCCTGTGCTAAGGGTGGGCTGTGGACCAGCCAGGAGCCCTCAGAGTTCACTTTTCTGGAGTCCTGAGGAAGCCAGAATCCCCTTGGTGCTTTAGACCGTTTGTTTTCTAAGTGGTAGACGAGGATGCGATGATAGGTCCCGCGTGGTAAAAGGAAAGGCACAGGTGGCCTCACGTGGTGAGGAGGGCCCCCTAGTCGAGCCGAGCAGGCCTCCCTTCTGAGCCCTGGCACCACATGGAGGACTGGCTCTCCCTCCCTCTCTCCTTCCCTCCCTCCTGTGGCCACCTCCAAAGGTTTCTAGAGTCCCTAAATGGACTCCAGCACAGAGGAGAGGCTGGCAGCCTCGTCCTTTCCCCGGGAGAGGAAACCTCTCATGTGCTGAAGGGGGCAACCGTCTTCTCTGACCAGACGTTGCCCAAGAAGAGCCATTTCACCTTGAGAAAGCACGAACTCTCCGTATAGCGGTTGCCACGTGTGATTGCTGTCTGTACTCCTGACTGCTATTAAGCTGGAGACACAACATGCCTGAAACGTCACATAAATGCCATGGAAACAGCCAGTTTCCAAGCCAGTGGATGGGCAGAGGCTCCTCACAGCGCTGAGTCCTGCCCTGTCCCTGGCAGGGTCCTTGGTGGACTGTCCATCGGGAGAACTGGGGGGTTGGGGCTGGATCCACCACCCCTCTCACTTACTCACAGGCTTGGGATCAAGGAGACTATCTTTCCGAGCTGACCTTTGGCCCTTTTGTCGCACAGACCTGTTTCTTTTCTCAAGTAACATCAGCAGGTTCCCTTATTTGATCCACCCAAGGAAACGTCCTCAACAGGCAGTTCCTGTCCTTGCCTTAATTCGTGGGAACTCTGGAGGTTCTGGCCCCTGGCTGGAGCCCAGACCCCCCCTCATTGGCTCACTGTGTAGGACCCCCACCCCCTTGCCTCCTCCCCAGCTTTTCCACTGCTCGCCTCCTGAAGGGGCCTCGGCGTGTCTGAACACTCGGGAGCGAAGGCCCAGATCCTACCATTTTCTTTGGAGGCACATCACTTTGATACTGTTGTGTTTGCGTGTTTCCTGTTGGGAACACAGCACTGACCCTCTCGAGGTGGTTGGGGGCACAGGGGAGGGCATTTCCCATGGAGCCCTCTGGTCCCTATTTGGAGAGGGGTCTCCATAATCCCCTATTTGGAGAGGGGTCTCCCCCCCACCCCGTGCTGTCAAGTGGCGCGGGCAACCCTGAGGAGCGGTCGCCGCTGCTGACAGGCTCACCCCTGACCACTGTCCTCTCCTGTGCTTTCCAGGGAACGCAGCCTTTGCTCGCGGGGTTGCAGCAGCTGGCCGGCGCTTCGTTTGCGTAGGTGAGCGAGCCAGATGACCACCTTGGGTACGGGAAGAGAGGATGATCAGAGGGAGACAAAGGTGTTGCCGGCTGGGAGCACCCCTTGACTGTGTGTCTGCACAGGGCTGGCAGCCCACACTCTGTGCGCAGGATGATGGGGTCATGACTGTTGAGAGCGGCTGCAGAGAGTCCAGAGCTGGGTTAGAGGGAAGCCCCTTCCGTTGAATGAACGTAGGAAGAGGGACAGCGGGCAGCCCCACAGCTTCCTCGGGCGAGTCAAGATGGCCCACTGAGTTCAGAAGGCTGGTCTGGAGGCACCAGGACTCC